AAATGAGTTTTTCATGCTTTTCACACAATAAACTATAGTATTTGGTAAAAAATAATGCTTACGCTGTAGATATTTTTAATGCAAAAACATTTTATGCAGTACACTCTTTGTAAAATTATTTAGAACACCCTGAACATCTGTACTGTTACAGGTTTAAACCAGTTTCTGATCACTTAAACCAGTTTATGTGTAATGTCTGTCCCTAACCAACCTGATTTAAACCTGTAACAGAACAGATGTTCAGTGCACATAAACCAGTTTGAAAATGTATAAGATTAAGATATTTCCTTAATACACAGAGCAAAGACTTGGCATTGGTTGGCCACATATGAAATGGGAAATGGGATCTATATTTTAGGCTATGCGAACATATGTCCATTTTCTCTGGAACAAGAAGGTAGTGAAAAGGTGTCTGAGTCCTAATTTCTTCCTGAGGCAATTCAGTTAAACACTGCTGTTTACTCAGCAATGAGCATAAAGGATTATGGCCTTTATTCCTAATAGTGTATTTAGAGAGCAAAATGCATGAGAATCTGTAGTAATCTGAGGCCACCCACAATGTTCTAGAAACAGAATCTTCCCTAAAATACTTTATTTCTGAGGAAAATACTTATTGTCAAGGCTGTTAAGATGAGTAAGAAAGGTGCTTGATTGTCTTAGTTATTAGTTTTGATAGATGTTCAGTGTTTCAGACAACAGCAAGAAATGCTAGGTCAGTTTATTATCTGGTCTGTAAGATTAGCTCACTTAATTCAGTCAAACTTTGCTGATTCATACCACTGAGGGAACTAGTTTACTATATGCAACCAGCCTGAACATTAGAGCTAGGGACAGACATTTAAAAAGCCTGAGCCTGAATTGATTCAATATTTGCAGGTTAGTTTAACCTGGCTAGGCTGAATCAGCTTGTAACCAGACAGACATTCTCTCTGGATTGAGGAAATTCAGGCTAGAAGTTGGGGGCTGCTAGAGCAGCCCTCCTTTTCCTTGCAAAGAGCTAAGCTGAGGGGAGTGAGGCCAGGCCCTGGAAGGATGCTTAGATTAAGGAGGTCTGCCTGCACCATCCTAGGCTTTTCCCTGCTGGGTGCACAAGGGGTGAGAGTGTTGCCAGCCCCCTGCTAGCATTCTGAGGCAAGGTGTGGGGAGGGTGCAGTGCATGCATCTGTTGATGATACGGACCTTTTCATTCTTCCTCCCTGCTTCTTAATACTGTCTGCAGCAAAGTGACAGGCAAGCAAGCCAGCAGGGGGATGATAACAGTGCTTATCACCCCATCAGTAAAAATAGACTCTCTCCATTAGTTCAAACTCTTCTTAAACAGCTTACCAGCTGACCTGTTGATTAGCTCCAAAAAGCCCTAAGCGGTCATTGCTCTGTCTGCCTGTCCCAGTGAAATTGTAGAGACACACATACACACAGACTCCACTTGGCATTAGTTAGCATACCACATGCCTAGGGTCAATGGGGCTGGGGGCTGTGCTGTGGGAGATGGGAGGGAGGGAGGGAGGGGCAATTCCTACTTGAGTGGGGGGTAGGGCAGGGGGAAGCCAGGCAGATCCTGCTGTGCCTGCAGTCTCTGCCAGAGCTCCTGCCAGGGAGCAGAGGAGAGAGGCCAGCTCTGCTGTGGAGCAGAGAGCCCCTCTCAGCCCAGAGAGCATGCTGGACTGCTGAGGGAGTCTGGTTTATCTTAAACCAGCAAGAGGTCTGGGATAGACATTACATAAACCTGTTTGACCCAAATCAGTTAAGTCTGATACTACATTCAACCGGGTTTATCTCAAACTGGTTTCAGCCATTTTCAAACTGGTTTATGTGCACTGAACTTCTGTTCTCTTACAGGTTTAAACCAGTTTCTGATCACTTAAATCGGTTTATGTGTAATGTCAGTCCCTAGCCAGGAAGGGTCTGAAAGTGCTTTGCTTCTCTTATCTGATCTCCTACTGATATAACATAGAATTTGTGGGTAAGGCAGGGATTAATAACCAAGCAAGGGTGAGTTTTGAAATTCTACCCACACAAATGCCTCTGACCTAGATGGCTATGAAGATGCATAAATGCCCATGCATGGGAAAGATGCATAGAAGATTCTGAGTTCCTTAGTTAAGTCCCTAAATCCTTACTTAAGCACCTTTAATAGGCTTCCTTTTTCACAGGTTAAGAGTACATACACACTTTATTAATTTTTAATCAAAAGTCCCAGCACCTCTGAATTCAGATTATTTAGGTTTCTAATAGGAGCTATGTTGGTGTATGAAATTATGATTATATGTGTACAGCAAAGGAGCAGTGGTAGACATCTTGCACAGGAAGTACCAGACTAGATTAGTGAATTGAAACACATGAGAGTTTCCTTGTCCTCCCATCTCCCATCTCCCTGAATAGAGAAAACAATTGATAGTACATAATTTAATTCTGTTTTAAACCAGGAAATATGTTCCATTCACTAAGTAAATTCAGACCACAGTATGGCTCAGGAATTTATTAACTGCAATCTCTGCAGCCTGCCTGCACAGGCCTCATTTCATTATTGCTCCATCATCCTGTTCATTGCTGCTCTCACAACTGCAATGGCTCAGATGATAGTAACTGCATGCAATGCTTTGTCAGGAGCAAAAAACACTGAGATATGAAAGGTGCCAGAATTTTGTTTTATTGGAAAACTGGGGTTTCACTTAATGAAATATATTTACAGAGTATACCTGCTTTCCCCAATGCCACCCCCTCACCAAGCCAAACAACATTTTGAAAAATATAACCATGCACCTCTGACTTTATAATACTTCATAAAAACATTGTAATTGCATTTGCTACTCGTTTCTGTGGCCTGGATTAGTCACTGTGGGCATCTTTAAATGTGCTCCAAGATTGGGAGGGTGTTGTAATTAAAGCATCTCTCAGGAGCTCTAATTAAAATGCCCACAGCATCTTGTGTATGCAGCATCTCACACTTCAAAATGGTGGTAGGGGTACTTTAAGTAAAGCTTGTTCAATGAGCTTTAGTTAAAGTTTGCGAACCACCATTTTGAAGAGTGGGGATGCTTCATACATGTGATGATGAGGCTACTGGAGGGCTCTCTGATTAGCCCAGGAGGGAACTGATAACAGTGCTTATCACCCCATTAAGAAAATAACAGAGGGATATTACCAGCTACCTGTTGATTCTGCCTGTCGATTCTACCTGTCGATTCAGCACAGACCATAGCCAGCATGTGGTCTGCTAGCTAATACACAGACACCTCTTGGCAAGGCAGAGGGGAAGTCCTGATTAGCAGGGAGTGGTGAAGGACAGTGGGGTGAGCAGCCTACAGTTCCCGGTGGAGCTTCAGCCAGGGAGTAGAGGAGAGAGGCTATGGAGCAGAGAACCACACCCAGCCCAGAGAGCATGCCACGATGCTGGGGGAGTCTAATTTATCTTGAACCAGCAAGGGGTCTGGGACAGGCGTTGCACAAACCAGTTTGACCCAAATTAGTTAAGTCTGATATTATATTCAACTAGGTTTATTCTAAGTATTGACTCAATACACAGCCTTTGCTCTATGTGGCCTTTGCTCACAACCTTTATTTTGGTTGGCTGAACAAGTAGAGGCAGCACAATCTAGTCCTAAAAATAAAATGTGCTAACTTTAGTTATTCTGTTCCTTGTCTCTCCTTCAGTTTGTAGCAAGGGCAGGCAAAATATGGCCTTCAGGCTGGGTCCATCCCACCAGGCAATTTCATCTGGTCCACAGGCACCCACTAACTAATTGTACCCTGTCCAGCTCGCATACCTTGCTCCCACCCTTGTGGGTGGAAGGTCCTGGTCCAGCCAGCACAGAGCTTCCAGGAGGGTTTGCTGCTGCCACTGCTGCAGCTACTGGGGACCTACCTGGCTTTCCCAGCACCCCACAGGCTCTGGGCACCAGGTAGGGAAGCAGAGGGGGGACCTGCAGCTGAGCAGGAGCACAGAGAATGGGGCTGGGGCTGACAGCAGCATGGAGCCCATGTCCAGGGCAGCTGCAGGACAAGGCTATGTTTTCTGCTTCAGGAATTTTTTGCATAAAGTTCAGCCCTTTCATACAACATCTGCTTCTCAGTCTTGTAGGCTTTTCCTAAATCTTGCTCCATTTTGAAAGTGAACATACAAACTGATCATATGTTGCCTCCTATCTAACATACAGCAAGGCTATCTGAACATATAGAACTTATAGGTGTCTATACACAAGGCAAGAGGCTACTCCAATGTGCTGTAATTACAGCTTGTTGGACGAGACTCAGTTAATCAAGTCTGCTGAAGTGTGGTAATTATCATGCTCCAGCCAGCCTCTGCATCTCATGTATCAGTTTCCCTGTGCGTCAAAATGGCAGTGGGGGCACTTTAAATAAAGCTTATTCAATGAGCCTTAGATAAAGTGCTCCTACCACACTTTTAAAGTGTGGGGCCTTGAGCCGCTCTAATTAAAGGCTCCCCCTCCCCCTCCCCCTGCAACACCTGGATCAAATGTAAAAATGTCCTATAGTACTAATCTTTAGTAAAGCTAATACAAATATCATGGGTGACTGGTGCCACTTTAGTGAAGGGGGGCATGTGCCCTCCCCCAGTAACCAGTCAGTGACTGGGGGGGTCCCCCTGCACGCAGCTGGTCTCACCGACTTGGGGGGGTTGTCCCACCAAGGCCAATATCATCGATCGGGGGGGGTGTCCCTGTGGCTAATAGAGGCGACTGGGAAGCAGCCACACCACTCCCGGAAGTGGCCGCTTCTGGAAGTGGCTGCACCACTTCATCTAGCGCTCCCACTCCCTGGCCAGTGCTCACGAGGGGGCACCAGCACTCCCACCTGCCCGCCCCCCGCACATTGCATAAGCAGGGAATGCAGCCTCTTAGGGGGTGCACCAGTGCTTTCAGGGGATGCACATTTACCCCCAGGCATCCCTTATGCATTGCCACTGACAAATATTATATTGGTATCTATAACTTTAGCATCAAATATGCTAAAGGAAGAAAAAGCACAATACTTGGTTCCTGGCAACAACCTTTTCACTATATTTTTAATTTGCATTGTAACAGTCCTAATGACAGAATGAAATGCTTATTTGCATAGTTCCTCCCAATAACCCTCAATAGATTGTAGAAAAAAATGCCACAGAAATCATGCCTCTGATACAGAATATTTGCATAATTTGAACAAAACCATGAATGAATGCCTTTCTGAACAAAACTGAATGATTATAAACAATCATTTGTGATTCATAACAACAATAAAAAAGCTTTCACATTCTAAATGATAAAGTAGAAGGCAGATAACATTTTTGTGTAAAACAAATTTTTATAGATAGTTGCCCTTTAAAGAAAAACAATGCTTCAGTGAGCTTTTACTGGCATGTCTTTTTATCTTAGTGTAAACAAGGATATTCCAAAAGGATAAATTCTCAGGAAAATAAGAAGCCATATGTTAATTTTTTTTAGCAATTCAGTAAAATATTAAGTGCTTAGCATTCATATTCCCTTTATCCTTCACCTACAAAAGTGAATTAAACTTATGATGATTCTGTGAGAACTTATTTAGGTACCACACTACCAGAAAACCAGTAAATTATAAAATAAAAATTTTTAGCATTTAAATAATTCTAAATAATGACAGCCCTTTGATTTCAGTTTTTGTTCTTGCCATTACGAAGGCCAACGCTTATCTTCTAGAAGAGTACATTGAAAAGTTTTTTTCTTATATTATCCAAAGCTTGCTTCAGGTATGAAAAAAATGGTTCCATTGGGATAAAATTTCCTGAATATGAATATTTGCTTAATTTACCTTCATTGTCACAATAAATAGTCCTTTTAAAAATGATAGAGGTGTAATCTTCTCCACAATGTATTTTATTAGACAATAGCACCATCTGCTGGTCTCTGCAATCACTTTAAACTTTAGAAAAAGCTGTGCAGAGTGAGCCAGCTAAAATGATAATGAATGCTACTATGAGTAAGAAATAGTTTTTCCATCCCTGTATGGCCAAAGAAAGAGAAAAGAAAAATACAATAAATATCCGTTAAAAACACAACAGCCCCTACCACCTCAAAGTAAAATTTAATAGAATGCACAGTAGATTGTAGAAGATTTGAATGAATGAGATTTCCAGATTGTCATGTTTTCAGAAGCAAGTTTTAAAATGCTCACAGAAGTTATTTCTGGACACACATTATTCAACTAATTTAAAAGACAAACCAGACTTCTCATCCTGTTGAACCTATGTCTGTTCAAACCCCACTAAAATGTACCTCAAGTAAAGTTTATGACATTACTGACAGCCTTTTCATTGAAGTCCCAGTAGGTCTGCATGGACCACCCACTCAACTGCTTTGAACAATTCACAGAATTAGTATAGGATATCATGAACCTACAATATTTGGAGGTCTTTGTGGAATGTCATGCAAGTTTTCTTCAGTTTGGTTGACTGATATGGCATGTGCTGTCTCTACAAATAGGTAGAGACATACATACATAATCATTATGTCTGTATGAATTGTGGTATTTGACATAAATGTAATTTTTGTTTCATACTTTGTTCAAGACTGTTTACTAGGGCAATAATTAACTTAAGCATTCCTCACTTATTCACACTTGAGGGAAGTAATTGTGAAGACTTAGCATCTGACATATGTATGTTTAATGACCAGTCAACTAGACTCTTTTGGATGTTGTCTAAGGCAGTGGTTCTCAAACTTTTTTGTACTAGGACCCACTTGTAAACATCAATGACCAATCCTGATGCAGTGCCCCTCACTCCTGACCTGCTGCCCCCTGCCCTAAGCCACCTACTGTGTGTGGGGCAGGGGGTGGGTATATGGGGCAAGGGGGGCATGCGTGGGTCATGGGGGGCCCCAAACAGCCCCTTGCAGGCTAGAACTCTTGTCAGCCTGCAAGGGAAAAGCCACTGTTTCCCACCTTTTTCTCATGTAAAAGAGAATTTTTAAAGTTTGTTCATGACCATTTCATATATTCTTGCGACCCATTTCTGGGTTCGAGAAATGACGGTCTAAGGCTCTTGAGCCAGGCCCTTTGAGATAATGATGCATTTACATTTTAAATGTAAATGCCCCCTGTAGTCCAGGGGACAGTAAATTATATGTGCAGTATGGGCTCCCTAAGGATCTGAAGCAGGGGTTGTCAACTGGGGGTACACATACCCCTGGGAGTACTTGAACCAGTCCTAGGGGGTGTGCGCGGGCAGGCGAGAAAAGAGTGCTGCCGGGGCAGGGAAGCTTGCACGTGGCCACACCCCAGCCCAGGGAGATTCCCTGCCCCAACCCTGCTCCTGGGAGGCAGCGGCACTCCATCCCCACCTGCTGACATGCTGTCCCCACCTCCCCGATTTGCATCTGACCATGCGCCTCCCCCCCCCCCATGCTTGGCATCTGACCACTGGGGGTACTTAGATTCAAAAAGGTTGAAAACCCCTGATCTAAAGGATAATGATTTTAATGACCAGATAAGAAATTGTCCTTAAACCTTTCCATGAGAGCAAGTGTTTGTTTTCAGTATTTTTTTTTTTCTGGGCACAGGATGTGGACTGAGTGAAGCAGGCTGAGAGGAGAGGCGCTACTTCACGGTCAGGGCGTGAAGTAGCTTCCAAGAGAAGTGGTGCTGGCTCCTACCCTGGGGGTCTTTAAGAGGAGGCTAGATGTACACCTTGCTGGGGTTGTTTGACCCCAGTACTCTTTCCTGCCATGGCAGGGGGTTGGACTAGATGATCTACTCAGGTCCCTTCCGACCTGAAGGTGGGAGGCAGGAGCTGCTTTCTAACCTTCTGGAGCTGCATACAAGCTTCATTCTTAAATACAGGGTAGGGTGAGGTTATTGCTCCTTTCTTTCATTCAAAAGGCACAGGAGGAACACCAGCCCACCAATGGTTTGCACTGACCTAGTAAAGGGACACTTGGATGGGCTGAATGTGTTTAAGATAGCAGTCCCGGATGATCTTTATCCAAGAGTGCTGAAGGAGTTGTCCAGTGTCATAGCAGAGCAACTGGCATGGCTGATTGAGTGCTCATGGTGCTCAGGTCAGGTCCCAGAGGACTGGAAGAGGGCCAACATGGTCTCTATTTTCAAGAAGGGGAGGAAGGAGGATCCGGGTAATTATATAGGCTGGTTAGTCTCACCTCTATCCTTGGGAAAACCTTTGAAAAAAATTGTCAAGAATCACATTTGTGGGAGCCCAGCAGGAAAAATAATGCTGAAGGGCAATCAGCAGGTAAATCCTAAACTTGTTTCTTTTTATGACCAGGTCACAAAATGGTTAGATGCAGGAGTTGGGGAAGATGTTATCTACTTGGATTTTAAGAAGGCCTTTGATACAGTATCTCATCCTATTCTCATAAACAAACTGAGTGGCTGTGACAGATGATTACAGTCAGGTGGGTGGCAAATTGGCTTAAGGGTTGCACCCAGAGAGTGGTGGTGGACAGGTCGGTATCAACCTGGAAAGATGTGGGCAGAGGGGTCTCTCAAGGCTTGGTCCTTGGATCTGTGCTATTCAATGTCTTCATCAGCGACTTGGATGAGGGTGTGGAGAGCATTCTGTCCAAATTTGTGGATGACACAAATTTATGGGGTAAAGTTAACAGGCTAATGTGAAGGGACTGAATCCAGGTGGACCAGGAAAGTTTTGAAAAGTGGGCAGAAAAGAATAGGATGTAGTACAAGAAAGGCAAGTGCAAAGCGCTGCATCTAGGGAGAAGGAATTACCAACACACCTATAGGCGAGGAGATGACCTTCTCAGCAGCACAGCACAGCACAGCACAGCACAGCACAGCACAGCACAGTCACAGTTGACTCCATGATGAATATGAGCTATCAATGTGATGAAGTAATCAGTAAAGCTAACCACACTCTATCATGCATTAGCAGGTGCATCACGAACAGGTCCAGGGAGGTGATACTTCCCCTGTATGTGGCACTGGTCAGGCCACAGTTGGACTAATGCATCCAGTTCTGGGTGCTACACTTCAAGAGGGATGTGGATAACCTTGAGAGGGTCCAGAGAAGGGCCACTCATGTGGTTAGGGGCTTGCAGGTAAGGCCCTACAAGGAGAGACTAAGGGACCTGGATCAGTTCAGCCTCCACAAGAGAAGGTTGAGAGGGGATCTTGTGGCGATTTACAAATTCATCGAGGGGGAGGGAGGTCAGCAAGAAATTGGAGATACTCTGTTTATCAGGGCACCCCTTGGAATAACCAGGAACAATGACCACAAACTGACAGAATGCAGATTCAGGTTGGACATCAGGAAGAACTTCTTTATGGTAAGAGTTGTCAGAATCTGGAATGGGCTTCCAAGGGAGGTGGTGCTCTCCCCTATCTTGGGGGTATTTAAGAGGAGACTGGACAAGCATCTGGATGGGGTCATATGACCCCAGCGCTCTTTCCTGCCCAGGGCAGGGGGTTGGACTGGATCTGTTGAGGTCCGTTCCAACCCTAACAACTATGAAAGTATTTGTTTGTTCTTATAACTCTGTCTGTATCTCAACATATGGTTACGGATGTCTTACTTTTGCTCTTGTTTTTATAATAACTCTTTTTGTTATATTTTAGATTTTACTATTGTCAAGGGCAAAACTGATTTCAGAGCATTTATCATACAGGCAGGCCTCTTCCCAGGAAGGAGGATCTATCATCTCTGAGCACGTAATTGGACATAGGAGTGATTCTTCTAGCTGGCAAAATCCCTTCTGCTAAATGCTGGTGAGACCTGGGTGAAGCAGCTAAAGCTGAGGTGCCACGAGTCAGGGAAGTGACCTTTGGAGCATTTCAGTCTGTTCTCAGTGGTCAAGCAGATGGCAGAAAAGGGTTGGGGCTGAAGGGCACCCCTGAAGATGTGAGAACACCCTAGGACTGTGTCTTAAAGGAACATCAGACCGCATGCAGGGTAAGGTTGTGTCACAGATAGCTTTTGTGAATTATTCCTATATTGCAAGTACTTCAACATATCTCCTGAAGATATCCAACTGACTTGCAGATAATTTTCAAATGGGGAAAGAGATGCTTGGGAGGGGAGAGGCGTTGGTTTTAAAGTCATTAGATAGAGTAGGAAATTGGGCTTGATGTCCTACATCCTGGTCCAGTGCTTTTACTACCAGTCTACTGCGTACATTCATATACAGAACGAGAACCTTAGATGCTTAGACCATTAAACTGGCAAAAACCAAGTTGTCTATAGTTGTTAGGGGCATATAAAGTTGGGGGGGAGCGGTTTAGCATCACTCTCTTGGAGCTGAGGCTATATCTACATTACACACGTGACAGAGTAAATTAGCCTGCACTGAATTCTGTACCTATAGAATGACAACTTCTCAAATATTTTTTCTTGGAAAATTTTCTCTTGTATGATTGGATTTCATCTATCCAGTGGTTGGACATGAAGATGAGGTCTTACAGATATTGTACTGTGCCATGTATCCTAAAATCTCAGGATTCACATGCAATTCTTTGAATCAGGTACAAGTGAAATAATTAGGATACTAGTAGACTTACCGTTATCTCTTTGAATACCAGGACTCCCCACATTGCAGCTACAAATCCAGGGCCCTAAAAGGCAAGGTTAGTTTTTATTCATATACAGCATTTTCTATAATAGATTCTTTCTCAATAGTCTTTCCAGGATAACCATGTAACATTTAAATATTACCTGAACTGCCTGGATATATTGGCTGGATATATTCTTTAGATAGCAAACCTTACCTAAAGCACGAATACAGGATGAGATTTCATGGTCAACTGACTACTCCCTAGCTTTCCAACATTTTTGCAGTCCCCATGTCCCCATGGT